ACAAAAACGACAGCAGTCATCATTAATCGTAATTCTAAAACTACACTTCCTCTTACACTATTACTATACAAATATTGCTGCTTCTAGCTCGACTGCTACTTGAATAATAATAATTTTAAAAAATCATATTTACTGAAATACAATACAGTGATGTAAATAAAAGCTTATAAGCTTAGTGTTAAAGTAACACTGTAACTTAAAACACACTTTATTTACTTGATTAGTATATACTGTACAATAAATATCGTAAACCCTATATCCTAGGATTTACTTGACTAAATTGCTTTAGATGTTGTGTAATTTTGAAATGATTGAAACCGGTTAGCCCGATCAAGGTGGGAAATAATTATATAACCGTATATATTATTAAGGAAACATCAGAAACAGATAAAGCGCAAAAAGGAGTAGAGTTTGTTCATTTTTACGCTTGATCTCAATTTTATTACGCTAGTAACATGTTCAATATCTTAAATGTATGTGAACCAGTTTTTACGCTCCAGAATTCCCTTCGAAATTTTATCTTCAATATCCTGAGATGGACTGGCGCCCAGTTCAGGGAATAGTCCAACCTCGCGTCCTGTGCTTCAGCGATAGATTCCTTGTTACAGCATCAGTAACGATGTGCTTTCAGGTAATAGATGGACGGTGCAGTCATAACAAAATGTTTAAATATAGTGACCGTGAAGATGACCTGTGCTGCCACTGACATTCAAGTGGTCCTGAAGGTTTACGTCAGTATGACAGTAATAATAATAATAATAATAATAATAATAATAATAATAATAATAATATCATATATGCCGATAATGTGTTATAAAATCTGTAAACTATTAATTCAAGACATGATTCCAAAGTCTTAGAATAGATCAAGCATATTCTCGGCCTACATATGCAGTAATGCCATACTGCAGTGTGGAAGAAAGGTTATGCATTTGCGAGCAAATCCATTTAATAAAATTGTTTGCTTTATTTCACGTCCCGCAAATAAAGCTTGAAATCCCAGTGCTTAGTCCTTCGGCAGGTATTGGTGTACAGAAATTCAATATATAAATTTTAGAAGAAGTAAACTGACTAAATAAATTGTATTAGAGGCGGCCAATATGTTTTCGGGTAGTTTCCTTTGTTCCACTTCTATCTGTGTGCAACAATCTAAAACCTATTTATTAGGAAAAAATCACTTGATCCGTCATAGAAAATCCTTAAACTGGGCTTTTCGGGACATTATGAAGATGCTACCTGGTGGAAAAGCTGATGACGACCTCCGATCCTCAGAACGAAGCATCAATAACACCACAATTAGATTAAAATGATTATATTACGCACCAATAAATGTATCATTAAATATAATGACACCGTTTGCTGTGCTCATGATTCAAATAGATAAATACTCTCAAGCAAATATAATCAATTTTAAGGATTATTATTATTTTATTAATATTATTGTTGTTGTTGGTGTTGTTGTTGTCGTCGTCGTCGTTTTGATTGTTATTTAAATCATTCCAGGTTTAGAAGTACAATCGTCCTTGTCGACTGCCTCTTCACCCAGTTAAATATGGCCTGGAGCTTCAAAAGGAATGATTCAGTTTGTTTATACAGCTATAAAAGCGATGAGCAATTGAAAAGTCGTAAAACGAAGCGCGCTATCAATCACCACACGATAGTGTCGTTCTGCGAAAGCAGCAAAGATTAAATAATGCGATGATTTCATATTATCCTTATTGTTCTTCTTCGGTTCCATATTGCCGTACGCGTTTAGAACCTTTCTTGAGAAAGCGATTGCACACTTACAGTATATAGCGAAAATTAATATATAAAGAACTTTAGATAGCCAACACAGTTTAATCCATTATTTTAAACCCGAGCTAAGTCTATTTCAGCACCAGAATCATTTCTATAGTCCTATACATTAGAGTAACGATCCGAGATTTGTTTTAGATTTGTTTTATTTTAAACAAACATATATTGTATTTAAACGATATTATATCACAGCGTACGTATCGTATAATAGACCCACGGTATATAATATAAAAGCATGACATAAAAAATACCACCACAGACCCCGAGACCTTGTATTTTGCTCTCTGTCGGATCCGGTACTTCATCCAAGTTTCCGGGACGTATCCTCAGTTTACGGGACGTACGAACCACAACTATGTCTCAAAGTTGAATCCGGGATTATTACCAGTTTCAAACACAACACAAGTAGCTCCGCTGTATCAGTGGTTATGGAGTCTAACCCCCGTACAGTGTTCTGAGCGATCCTGGTCATGTCACCAGATTGCCGAAAATAAAAGATGAGATGAACCCATGTAACCTAGGATAGAAAAAAGAACAGAACAAAAATGCCAAAGTTCTCGCTCGGACGCATCCTTTGTGTGATTCTAAAGCCATTATTCACCCTGAAATGTAAAGCGCTTTTATAAACCCCAACACCGGCATCTGCCAAAAGCGTTTTATTTTTCAGTTTTTCTGTGTGTGTCTTTATGGCAAGAGTCAATGTGTAACTTGCCAATTACGGTGTTTGCAGGGTATTATTTACCGCATAGCTCATAAGAAATCTCTTTGTGTTTTGCACTGTTAGAACAAAATAAATAATCTTAATTGAGTCAATTTTGATTAAAAATCAATACGGTTCGTTTGAAAGAATAGGTCTGTAATTGCCGTCTGCAGCCTTTTTTTTATATTTGTTTATATCCCAAGACTCATCTCAAGACATTAATCACACAAATGTATGTTTTAAAAAAGGACTTCTAAACCGCATGTTCAACCCCACTGCAGAATTTCCACCGAATTTTGCACTTAATTTCCTCAGATATCATTTACAATAAGAATACCCCGCTTGACAGCCAAGTCTAAACAGTAGTAAATTAGTACAAATTTATACTGATTTTGCTCTAATAATCGTAATAAAAGCTTATAGATTTGGCACTAATTACATAAATGCCTAATGATCTTGAAAATTACTCTGGTTAGGAATATATTACTAATCTAAACTTTGTTGTTGGCTGGCTCTGAGAAATCAGAACATTAGAGATGGTTCACTTCGCTTGTGGAAGACCGCACTTAAAATGTTACAACAGGGGTGAAATATTCATGGTGAAATCTGAAAACAATGCAATTGCTATTCGTTCTCACGCTTGGAGCACAAACAACACAAAATGTATATAATAAATGCAGGTAGAAAGTATAATTCCTAGAAAATACTGTATACAGTATAATGTTTGACAGGATAAGGAATAAACAGAAGTCAGGCATTCACTCTTGACTAAAGCAGTTTCTTAAGATTTGCGTCTGAATCAGTTTTACACTGGACTCTGCCATTATGTTTTTTCTTCTTTCTCCTTAAAAACACTAAGGTTTTATACGACTGTAATTTAAAGCCCGTAGAGTGATAGGGATGGTATGTTTATATTGAAATTGCCTAATAAGTTGAGCAGATCAGATCCGGGCTGCGAACAGAGCCATCTTAAGAACAATAACACTTCAAATAAAGTATATTTGAACAAATATTCCAGAAATACCCAGTTTATTAAGTTTGGTTTGTAGCCATTATAGAAATTAGATCAGGTCATTTTAAAGGGTATAATTTGAGGCTGATAGCTAATAAATCAGATTTGAAAATGAGGAGAAATAGACTTGTAAATGTAGCTTGGTTGTGAATGTGAGTGGTTGGCCGCAGAGCTTCGCGGAGCTGACATTTTCAAGCTTCAATTCTGATTGGTTCTCATTTGGAGAAGCTCATGGGTTCATTCAACTATTAAGCGCCTCCCAGTCCCTCTAAAGGACATTATAATGCAAGGGACCTCCTTTTTAACCACAAACCGAATTTTCTTTCATTTAGGCTATATATATTTTTTAAATAGTTTAAAGTTGTAGAATTTTTTTTGGAAAGCGTTTCACCCTGGAGCGGTGCGCAATGCTATCGCACGCCGACCTCCTGGATGCTCGCCTCGGTGAGTTATCGTCACCAAACTCCGGTCTTCAACTCTACTGTAAGCTGGAGGAACTTCTAATCTAACAAAATCAAGCAGAGAAATTGACAATTTGTTCCTTATTTTAGCTAATATGATTTAAATGAGTTAATTCTCTTTAAAAGCAATTATTTTTATATTACATCATAATTTGATTTAAAACCGTTTTCAAATATAGCGCTGTGATCCAATAGAATTAAGAATATGCTATTATGAGATTGTGCTATTTTTAGATCTAATATTTTGTGTTATATAAAATTAATGTAAAAAAGAACGAGACATTGTAAGCGATACGCACTGGAGAATAGTTTGCTCGTAAAGAAAATTAAAAATGTTTTGTTGTTGGTTTTAGGTGCATGGATATTATAACTAATCAAATATTGTTGATTTGTAGCTTTTTGCTGTAATATACAGTTATTTGTAATTTACCGTTTTATCACTTAAACTAATAATTGATTGATGACCTAACTTATGTTTTTATTGATAAAAATAAATCAAATGTGAATGCTTCATTTTGTAGGAAAGAAAGTTTTAACTATCCTTTTACTCCAACTGACTTATTTCATGATATATTATTTTGTAGGGATGAAGGACGCAGCGGCGGAGCTTCTGGGACACAGGGAGGCATTGAAGTGTAGGCTGGGAGCCGGGGGATCGGACCCCGGGCATCCTGGAGATCTAGCCCCGGGCTCGGACACTGTAGAAGGGACGACTCTCCTCCCTGGAGACGACATCAACAATACTGGATCCAACCCCTCCGGTGTCCAGGTCAGCACAAAAGACCAGGAAAAGCAACAACAGCAGAACCCGAACCAGTCAGGTGGGCAACAAAGCCAACAGAAACAGAAACGTCACCGGACCCGTTTTACTCCGGCCCAGCTTAACGAACTGGAGAGAAGCTTCGCAAAAACCCATTACCCAGACATCTTTATGAGAGAAGAATTGGCACTGAGAATCGGTCTGACAGAGTCGCGCGTACAGGTAAGGCCAGTTTGCAAGAATTTAATCATCATGCTGTACTGTACATGTGTTGTGCTAAAAATATAATTCCGTAAGTACAAAAATGCTGCCGACTTCTTACGCTACACAACCAAATACATCCTGAAAGATAACTAAAATATGCTGCTGTTAAATACATTTAACTTTTAATCAATATCAATAGAAAGATTTAAGTACCGCTGAAGACAATATCAAAATTAGTCTACGATTTTTTCATCTTCAGCTGCGAGACACGGAAATATAATTTTACTACTAAGGAAAAAAAGGAAAGAAGGGAAAAAAACAGACGGAGAAATATATTAGATTAATGCCATATACAATGAACTATTGGGATATATTTTTGAATTTTACGATGAAGAAAAAAACGCGTTCGTCAAGACGCTTCTTTCTTTCACCAATTAGCTATATATACAAAGCAATAACAATTTATAGAGAATAAAAACATGTAATTTGTTTCTTAAATATTCCTGAAATCAAACACTTGAACCCAATTATAACAATATTTTACGTGAATGCATTTGATTGCCAAGGCCCTACAGTAAGTATCTGGGTAACGGTCAATCCCCGGTCACACTTAGGATATTTCTGGAGTCTTAATAGTTTTCAAGTTTTTAATACATTAATGTGTTTTATTAGCCTGTCAACGTTTGTGTAAACGAGGAAAGAGAAATATTGGTTGACTCTTGATATGGTTCACCGTGAGTCAAATGTTAGTTTCCGTCAGTTTTCCTTAAATGAAAAGAAAGCGATTTATTTCCAGCAATCAGGTTAAGTGATAGAGCTATCCAAGGTGCTGAAACTGTTTAAGTTTCCCGCTGTTCGCGCAAAACAGTTAACTGAGGTTTCGAAAGCATTGTTATTAATATTATTAATAATAATTATTATTATTAGTAATAAAAACTACAACTACGGCTGCTGCTTCTTCCACTACTACGTGGCTACGAATATTGCTCTGAGCACTACTCGATTAAATAAATAGTAATACTATAGCTGTACTTTCTTCTTCTGTTGTCAAGGCCAGTTATTAATTGCCCGATAACAGTTAATTACAGAATTGTTTTTTGAAGGACGTTTTTTTTAATTCGTTCCTTTATAGACAAACATAGGATTAATGCATATACGTTAATATTCACACAATAAAGATGAAAACAAATTTGTTTTTATTTGAGTACCTACAGTATTTTCATATTTGAACAAATATGTGCAATTACGTTTAAATGGAAATTTCTATTGGTGTTGTGAATTTTATTAAATTATAAATACAACATTAAATATTACTGTTACTACTTCCGTACTTCTAATATATTGTTAAGATTAATGGGCCTATATTATGACCAACAACAGCAATATAATGATAATATAAAGAAGAAAAGAAAAAAATTATAATTTGTAAAATTATTTAATTAAACTGTTAAACGGGCTTTCTCATAGTTATTGCTTTTCGACATAAACAGTCTGAAAAAAATCTATTTATATATTGAAATCATATTAACTGGCTCGCAAAAAAATATTCGACTGAAAATATTCCGGAATAAATTAAACTCTTTAATGCGTAATTCTCGGCGTCTTCCCCATTAGTAGTAGATGGCTGTTCTAGTCGTTATTTAAATTATAATGGTTCATAGATCTGATTGGCGCGCTGTTGCTTTTTAAAGCCTGCTAAATTAACTCATGCAATAGATTCATTTTTAGGAGAATATAGGCATTTAATGAAGGTCCTACATACCTATTCCACACATACTTTTATTCTTATCTGATATATTTCAGTTCATTATGTATGTATAGCTTTTTCAAGGTAGTATAATAAAACCAGGCCCATTATTATCAACCAATTTCAGAATTATTTATAACAGGGGATGGCTTATTAACCCGCAATGTGAAAATCATGCAAATTGCGAGATTATATGCAATATAATAAGCATAATCATTAGTCTCTAGCACGAATTAATTAGCTTTCAATATTTTATTTACATAAAAATAAAATAAGCGAAATACCGTCTACGTAGATATCTTTGCTGAATAATATTTTATGACAAAAATAAAATTGTTTTGCAGCTGAGTGGTCAACATAGTGCGCTCCTTTCCAATGGTTTTGTCACCTACCACGTCTTAATAGCGGACAAGTTGAAAGTATATTCTAGTTTTTTAATGGAATGAGAAATTGCATTTTCTTTCCCCCCTAGCACTATTAAAGTGTAATGAATTTGGTCGGGATTTCACGGATGGCTGCTCCGAGTGAACCTGAGATTTGAGTTTTAATACAGCGCCCCAGATTTCCTACCAAATCTTCACATTAATCATCAGCCGGATTGCAGTGAGATCTTTATAAACCTCAAGGACCCCAGCAGAAATTTAACACTCAATATCATTTACAGCCTTTGAGACAAATAGGTTATATCTGTATAGATATATAAAGGCCTATATATTCACTCACATATGTATACACGCATAATACACAGCGTACATATAGGGTAAGATGACGTATTTTGTTAAAATTCCTTGAGGTATTGGTCTCACTGTTCACTACCAAAGTACGTCTGATACTGCTAATACGTTAAATAAGGACTTTAATGTTTTTGTTTTATTTATTTTTTAAATCACAGCTATTCGAGTAGAATTTCTTTAAATTGACTGGAAATCTTGGTTTCTAAAACCCAGAATGTTGGTAATTCTGAATATTGATAATAGCATTTTATAACATCTGCCATTGACTATAACCAACACGTATCAACTATTTATTTATTATATATTAGATTTTCCACTACACATCGGTATTACAAATACTTAATTGTTTTTCTTATAATAATTAAAAAAACTAACTTTTATGATCAGGCTGAAATAAAATTGTAAAAAATAGTATCGGGTAATGAGAACTACGCGAAAGATTAAAAAATAAAACAATAAACAAAGATGTTTTTTTACCCATGTACACTTCTTTTTAAATCTGCTATTAAAAACTTCAATTTATTTGATTTTTATTTACAGCCCACGAATCAAATAATTACTGTAAAAAGAATAAGCCGACGTCTAAAGTTTATGTAGTGAGATATTCTTCATTCTAGGAAGAGTACCTTCGATGACTTTTATGTCATATTTGATCTTTGTTCGTTTATGTTGTCCATTTTGCTAAACTGTTATAGATCTAATTTGGTGCCTAAAAAGTGTCTATATTACAAGTGCATATTGAAATATGATTAATTTCTATATCTTGATTTAATTTTGACATAAACGCGTTTTATTCCCTTAAAGGAAGAACATACAGTATATAACCAATTTAGAGTTTGGAAAATTAATGTTCACAGACTTCGAGCTGTTACCTAATTCGGATTAAGAATCGTATTATACATTATATGTACCTACAGTAGTCGACTTATATACTGTATTACTACTGTACGTAATAGACGTACTGTAGTAAGACTGTTTTTTAATTACCTAAAACATTATGACAGAAAAATAACAGTAGCACTGTTTATTCGCACGATAATAATCTATACCTTGGAAAGGCTTTTACAAAAATATTTCATGCCCATTAATGCCCTTCTATTCAATAATTAGACTTTATTTTCTTTTCAACCCCAGGTTTGGTTTCAGAACCGACGCGCGAAGTGGAAGAAGCGCAAGAAGACCACTAACGTTTTTCGAGCCCCTGGTACGTTACTACCAACCCACGGCCTGCCACAGTTTCCCTCTGCTGCAGCCGCTGCAGCCGCAATGGGCGACAGCCTCTGTTCATTTCATGCCAACGATACCCGCTGGGCTGCAGCCGGAATGCCCGGCGTGTCTCAGCTGCAACTCCCGCCCGCTCTGGGCCGGCAGCAGGCCATGGCTCAGTCTTTGTCCCAGTGCAGCCTTGGAGCTGGTCCCCCTCCCAATTCCATGAGCCTGTCCAACAGCTTGTCCGCGGCCTCTAACGGCTCCGGACTTCAGTCACACCTCTACCAGCCCGCATTTCCTGGCATGGTGCCCGCCTCTCTCTCCGGTCCCACTAACGTGACCGGTTCACCCCAGCTCTGTAGCTCTCCGGATAGTGACGTCTGGAGAGGGACCAGCATCGCTTCCCTGCGCCGCAAAGCACTCGAGCACACAGTCTCAATGAGTTTCACTTAATAATAACGATCGAAGAGGCCCACAACCTTTTTTCTTTTTCTGTATTAAAATCCCCGTCACCTAAGTAACACACCAGGAAGTCTACTCAGGATATGAAAACAAGTAAGAAAAGGAGACTGTGTACAACATACGAGTACACAAACCCCTGAGCAGAAATACTTGTGCGAAGGGGCAAAGAAAACGTGGACATTTAATGTAAGAAATAACTACAAACTTCTGGCTAAGCCTGGTTAAAATGTTTTCTATTTTGGCTTTTTTAGACCTGACTTCACGTGTTTATTTATATGTATTTATCAATCATAGCGCATTGGAGTTTTGACCATCCGTTGCTGTGCCTGCATTCATAAATGACCGCTACACAGATGGGGACAACTATCAGTTTAATTCGATATTTATCGACAGTTCTTCACATTAGGAACTGAGTACGGATTCTGTTTGGTCAAAACTCGAGGCTCTGTGAAAATAATTTTCAAATGCCACCTGCACTGCATGCAAAGACGGGCTAAAGGCATGCGCAGTGCACGTGTGTATTTTAAAACCCTGGAAGTTTGTACAGCAAGAAAAATTAAATAAATAAAAAAGAATACTGAGAAGATGAAGAAAACATATAGTTAAAATAAGATAATTTTAAAGAAACGGCTTTGTCTGCATGTGCTGGCCAGGTTAAAACACTGGGGATATAATATTTATAACAGAAGAAAAAGAAACTTTACATAACCTGTTATATAGGATGTTTTGTGTAGATAAAGCATTCTTGTTATCTTCTGGTCTATTTGTGATATGTTCTAACTTATTGTCTGTGCTTATTATTGAAACTGGGTTTCTTAAATGTTTGAACTTATACTTAACACTTATACTTTGGTTTCCTGGACGAGTTTATATCAATTTAATGTAAATGAATAAATAAAATCATTTTCAATATGTCACATTATACATGTCCTTGCCTTTGCTGTTGCTGAGTTGGGCGGAACCCTGTAAGTTACATAAACTAGAACTAAAGCATTCATACTAAATTGCACACAGTCGTGCGTGTAGCCACTGATCGAATGCTCATATTATGTTTCACCTTACCATATGCATTATAAATTACTCTGCACTCGTATTTATTTATATATGCACATTGGTCTTTCATAGCTTTCTTCTGAGACCTTTATTTATTTATTTTCAGATTCGGAATAATTTAACGTCTCGGGGAAATGCTTGAAAGAATGTAATTAGCTCAGCAGTACATTCTGATTATGCTATTCATAAATAACATAAAGTACAAAGTAACAGTCAAAACAGCATAATGGCACAACAGATGTATAAAGAAGACATGCTTAAAGCTAAAGGAAAACACTATAGCACCCATTATAAATCATATTTTAAATAGTTTGTGAGATGCATTAATTTATAATACATTAATCTAAAATCTATTCTATAAACTGGACAAAAAATGTCTTGTCAGAAATGGCACATTATTGTAGCCGATATGATTAATAGTAACATACAGGATGTGCCTAATTTTTGCGGGGCATTCACCTGTTCTCTCGATCGCTTCTTGTGATTTAAAAGGGTGAAACAGGTGACATTTAACACACGAGGTCAATTTAATGAATAAGGAGAAATTCTAAGAAACCGTAAATGTCGACTCATATGTAGGCGCCATTATTATTTTGCTCCTAGGTTATTGAAGGAGGAAAGATGCATGGTAAAATATTGGTTCTTCCCGCATTGTTCTGACAAGTAACTCTACACAGATGATCGAATTTCTTTGGTCATTGAAGATACGACAAGAATTAATGGATTTATAGCTCGTGAAAACGATCATTATTCCAACCATCTAAATCGCTCATTTCTAGCCGGGGCTTTGCCAATCTGGATTCTGGCCCGGATGAACAGGGCGCATGGGAGGACTATCCCTGGACAGGAGTCCAGTAGCAGACACAGACAGTTCAGAGAAACCAAGCGACCCAGGCAGCCAGTAGCTCATTCTCGACCGGAGAACATCGCGTTTCGGCCAGTTCATCCTCAGTTTAAGTAGAAACAAGAAAAGAGCAAAGAGGTGTTCTCACGATTAAGGTCAATTAAGGCATTTGGGAACACAAAACAGATTTTCTATATTTTTAGGAATCCCTTTCCTCTTTGTGTTGCCTACTAACTACAGTATCATCATCACGACAATGCTCTGATCGGTAAGGTCAATTTTGGTCATAATGCAAGTTGTCAGATTTACTACCGGTTTCTGGAATCATCTTAGATTCATTTCAAGCTTTAATGTCCCTTAGGGAAAATTATTTTAAGATAGAGTCCAACACAACAATGCAACAAATACAAAAAAAAACAAAACTAAAAAAGATGTAAGGACAACAATATTTCGGTAGATAAAATAATTATTTTACATTCTTTAAGAATGAGATTACAGAGGCTTCTGGATCCACACACTCCATTAATGATGTTAGTGTTAGCTTTCTGTAGAACCCTCTGTTTGTATAATGCAGTCAGGTTGATCTGATTTATCCCCATGATTTTACTTCGTATGTTCACTGTTTTTCGCAATCTATTAGAGTTTGTTGGGATATAAGTGATTTGTTTTTACCGTTTTGCATCTGTGAAATAAAAAATAGGTGATTTCTTACCACTGCGTTTATAAACTCTTCTGGTCATTTTTCCTTGCCCATGATATTAGAATTTATCATGTTTCACATTAAGTTCTTATTTTGAAAAACCTAAGTTTATAAAGAGGAACGTACTTATTACCTTTAATTATTAGAGCTTTATAAATATCCAATGCTAAATAAACCAACATTATTTCCGCTCCGAATGCATATGTGTTGCGATATTTTTACAGTCTCAATAAATCAACTAGCAGTATTTTTTAAAACTGGTTCAAAATATATACTCTACATCGACAAAAGATACAAAGGCAATTAGGGTTTTAGATTCGACGCATGTTGTGTAGGTTACCCAGCCCAATTGATGACATTTTGTATTTTTGCACAACTTAAAATGTAATTAACTGCCATCATCAATAGTGCCGTCATCCATTACAGTCAATCGATCAATTAATCAATGTTGATTTCCAGTAAATGAGTAAAACAAGATACTTATTGTGGTTAAGGAGAAATATTTAGTGTCCTGTAATATTTTATGTTACAATAAGTGGTAAAATATTTTCAAATATATAATAAAACAGTATATACAGTACAATATGTAATCTAATCATTTCAGTTATGTGTTGTTTCGCGATCTTCCTGATCTCCGTAACATAAGTTTATTGCTTCAAAAAATTTGTCCTATATGTCCTGAAGTTGCTGAACATTTTGGTTTTCATGAGTATGTCCTAAGGATCAAATTAAGCAAAGCACCCCAAGTTCAATGCAAACACGTTTACTTATTCCGGCTGTGACGTACTTCATCATAGATATTGCTGGAGGTTTCCAAAGCACCGTCAAAGGTAAATTAAACAAAGATTTTATTTTAACAAAGAATATTTGTTAATAATATATCTTTGGGGTCATTCATCCTGGCAAGAGACAGTTAAATTTCTGGGAAGTTCACCAGTTTAAGACAAAAGTGGAAATCGAATTTTGAACCAGACTGCTGTGCAGACATGTAGTGTGGATACGTTTTTTCATACAATGTGTCTTTGATTAGTTAATACGCTAGAAATTCTAACTGCCATTTGCTATGGGTGAGGACTGTTCAATTTACTTTGATCAGATATCATGGTCAAATAAGCACACCTTAACAAACAACATTTATTACATTTAATATATTAGTGAATAACATTAGTGGAAAAGCAGGGTGCCAGTAATTCAATCTGTAAGTGGAACAGTAGCCTACATTGTTTACATGATGTGGGAAAAAAAAGCCTAAAACAGTAAACACCACCTATTGTGGGTGTGAATATTAATTAGCTCTTCAACTAATCACAGTGCTGCAGGAGATGGAACTGTCTTATACAGTACTGTACCTTCTCATTATGTCTTTAGTGAAAGCCCAAGGATAGCTGTTTCAACTTTGTTAGGGCTCATCAAAGTGACATATCTAAATTGGACCACTGACATGGACATATTTATGTGTCTCAGAACACCCTTTCAGGTTTGAATGGGAAGTTAAGCAAAGCAGCCACAATGAATTCATTCATCATTGACTAACACTTCCATTTTGGGATGATTGTCTTCCATTAAGCCAAAGGTGACTGATAGCCAATGTGAGATTCACACTCTCTGGCAGGTTGAGCAGGTGTCTCGGTAGATATCAGTTTGTATGTGGAATCTAGTCATAGTGGAGTCTCCTGCTTTTCCGTCTCAAACTAACAGCTCTAGGTCTCAAAGTGCTGGGCTCATTTCTTGATGTTCTTCTTCCATGGGATTCAGTCAAGAGGCATAATCTCTTAGGAGCAGACACTGATTTTGTCTTTCATGTTTATGTTTATCATATAGTACATTTGAAATGCTCTTTCTGTCTTCTGTTGGTGCAAGTGCCTTGGCTAAGCAGGTTGAAAAGAATCTTCTTTGGGCTCTTGATATCCCTCTGGATGACATGACCCACCTAACAGAGCTGGTGGCAGATGATCATAGCTTCATAGCTTGTGATGCCCATTTTGGCGAGAACACTGATGTCGAAGTATATGTGTCTGCGTGACATGTAGAATCTTCCGGAGACAACATTAGAGATATGAGCCCAATCCTTCTCAGTATTCTCCTGCATGTTATGTATGTTTCAGACCTCTGCAATAAAGAAGACATGATGTCTGCAAGATAGACCATCAGTTTGGTTTCAGCAATGTTGGAGCAATCCTCAAACACTTGCCTCCTCAGGTGGACAAAGTCTGTGTATATACTGTACATTTCAGGCAATTCTGGCTTTCTTCATGCAGTATGCAGCACCTCAGACACATTGACTAACTTCACACGGGATCCTTCAGAAAACAAATGGATAAGATTTAGAGATAGACTAGGTACTGGTCAGTATACAACATGGACTGAATGATCTTCTTTTGCTTGTAGGCCTCTTTATGTTTTTAAATCATTACATCTTGCTTTCCATTATACAAAGTAATCTATTTGTTCTAACTGTACTACATAACACTCCCATTCAAGGTCCTTCATTTCTAATAAGCCTCCGCTTTCTTGCATGGCAGCTTGGTGACTTGAGGAACAGGTTCTCACTATAAGTTCTATCTGAAACCCAGGGAGTTGTCTATTCACAGATCTGAGCGTTCAAATTGGGTGTTAAATATACTAGCACCTCTCTCTGTGTGTGAAAACATACAACTTTTTTCATTGTCTCTGTTGTCTTATTGTCTCAGACCTTGTATCCATGACTTCATTCTTTCATCTTAATGTATGTCTTTGGCTTGCTTTTATCAAAAGCCTAAAGGGTTTTGAAGGCTGAAATCAGACCCCTTCACAATTTCCCTTTGTTGAAGACTAAAGAGACTTCTCTACAAGCATTCACCTTCAAATGTAGAAAACAATCTTGTCTAGATGGTCAGAGGAACCATTATCCATTACCTTAACAACATGGGGAGTTAGTAATAGAAACTAACTCTCAAAGTAGATCATGTTCAGACAACGCATGTACTAATGAGCATGTCTGTATTTATACAGCACTTTAAACCAACAAGATGTTTTTTTAAGGTGCTTTACGAAAGACAAAAATGAAAGCAACACTATGACTTCCTACCGTTCAAAGGGAGCCCTTCAAACTAGATGTGCTGCAATGAAATTCGCATTAATTTGTGTGAGACTCTCTGACATTCTTACAAGGGTTCAGCTTGAGTGATGGTAGGAAGGTAAATGTGTTGTATGAGATGTGCATCTATATTCCAAGAACATTCCTCTGGTACTGGACGTCTGGAGAGTTGGATGCCACTAGTTTTAGGGAGCAGAAGGAACAAAAACATGGCATGAGTTTCACCATACTTCAACTGGAT